GCACAATGATGCGACTGCCATCAACTTCTCGTCCATTTAGCCTATATATAGCATCATCTGCATCTCGAGGATCGCTAAATTCCTGTACTTTCCAATTCATTGAAGATGAAAAAAGAAGCTTAATTCACACATAAAGTGGCACTCATATGTGGCACGAATTCATTGGGTGGTGATGAAATTGCTGATAATTTCACCACTCACAGAATGTGTCACATAAAAATGTCACTTAATATTATGTTTCCATATCTCCCTATAATTTGACAACATCAAAGAAGAACGTACCACAAATGCATAGTCACGCTTCATATCTACATCACGTACTCTGCGTAAATGGGTTCCAGAAACAGTAAGGCCATCATGACAAAATAACCAAAGGGTTGATACCTCGCCTCTCAGGATGAAGTAACACCACTTTGGGGTTGGTTCCATTCCATCAAAACATATATACTATAACAACAAAGAAAGATTCGCCACTCTTTGCAAGAATATCAACGGATGCCACCAAGGTCAACCTCCCACCACATACCTCCCGTTGGGCAAAAATATAGAAACCTTCAGAAACATCATCCAAGATAAAATCTGAGACTAGTAGGACATTGTTTTCACTCATATATTTGAATGAAAATGTCAATCAGCGCAACGTCACACTAACTATGGCCCCATACCCATGAAAAAACGCATCCAAGATAATGTTATAAAGCACACTAAAACCCCAAGGGTCTGTTTGGATCCCAGAAAATAACAAGGAAAGGGACAGTAAGGAAAGAAGAATTGATAAAAGATAAACTCAAACTTAATGCATTTCAATTGGATCTTTCTTCATTCTTACTTTTGGATTTATTTCCTATATATGAAGAGTAAGAAATCTAAATATATGAAATGGTAAAGGCAACATAAAATAATATTAAATATTTGTATTTTACCCTTTCCCTGTCATTTTAGTGATCCACAGTCCACATATACTCTAAGATAAACATCACTTCTTTCAGAAATCAGTGACACTTGCATCTAGATAACATATTCAATGGGTATCAAAAACTGGGATTGAAACCCAATCGTTTGTGTCAGTCTGATGGCATAACATGCACATGTTCAAGATTGGGATATTACGCAATGCTTGTATAGTTCTATCAAACATGAATGGCTCCATTGGTTTCCAAAGCTCACGTATTTACCTTCCATATCTGCTAAAGATATCCTCCAAATCGCGAGTTCGCGTCCTGGAAGAGAGATGACCAACATAGAGGCGATTTCCACCGTAACGATCATCATATCGCGGCATTTTTCCTGAAACAGATCAAATCTAGAACAGATCGAAGAAAAATTGTTACTTTTCAAAACAAACCAAAAAGCTCAACATAACTAGAGCAATAATTGTATACTAAGAAGATAAATGTAAAGACTTGAATAAAAGGGCAAGTCACTACCGATGTTCAGCGGCAGATGTAAGAACCCTAGATGTGGTTTTCCAGAATGAAATAGGAGTCGATCGTTCCACGCTTTGTCCCGGCGGTTTATTTATTCAGCAAATAATTCCTAATGTCTGGGCCATAATAGTTTTGGATTAATCAGATTGTACAATCGGGAAAAAGCGGTGATAAGCCCATTCCATGCAGATTGCGATGATGATAAGCCCATTCAATGCTGGATTTGAGAATGATGAAGCTTTATGCAGTATAGCCCAATTATAAGACAATCGTCACTCATCATGATAAACGGATTTTTAACTTAATGATGCAATATTAGGATTTGTATCCAATGTTATGAAACTATATTTTGTGTCTAATTTGTATCATAATATAATCATCTTGTGCAAACATTATATTGTATTGTAGGGTTCTAGGTTCTGAAACTTACTTTGTCATAGACATAAATGGTAAACTAGAGGCTTAGATATTTCATATAATTAAGTTACAAGTCTTACAAATTAAATATTGAGTTGATTAAATATTTCTAAGAGTTTTATTAATGTATTGGTTGAGGAGGAAGATGGTCTACCATAACATTCAACAAGATTATATGGGATCTCAAAGAAATGACACAGAATCTAGGGAAATCCTGCAGAATTTTGCGTCCAACATTAACTTTGTCTTGCCGTGTCATTTGAGACTTTAATGACGTACTCAATCGCGGTGAAGGGCGTACGAAACATCCAATGTGGTTAATAAATGATTTTCGAGAGACAATTTGAAATAGTAAATTAATTGATATACAGCAGCAATGGGTGGAGCTTGAATACAGAGAAGACAATGGTAGAAAGCTTGATAGGGCTATGGGGCTCAAACTTGACTACATCAGTTCCCATTTGAACCATACAAATCACACGCCTATATTTCTATTAATTGAGCCTAACATTGTGGTTGGGCTTTCAGATCATTAACCTATATTTCTAAATTCTACATTACTTGACACAACATATAATCAACAACAAAATAGTAAAGATAACCAAAATATTAGCTCTAATTGTCAGTTTACCATAAATGTATTTGTCCCAATTAAATATGAGACTGATTATATACTTATCCTTCACATTACCTAACACAGCATAAGGCCAACAAAAAAATAACTTATGTAAGATTAGTCAAAGAGTAACCATAACTCATGTTTTTAGTCCCTCCGATTCATATAGAGCTTTTTCCTTCAAATGCTCTTCTATTGGACACATATCTAATGAGATCTCCTATTTAAAAGCATGGATCGTCATCAAATGTCATCGCATGCGCTACTAGGTTGTTTATCTCATAGCAATTTTCTTCACCCTCATAAAAAAGAGGGTGAATGCGACCTCCAATTTCCCAGATAGTGACACTGACATGTTGTCATGTGGGCAATTGCTTCTAAAAGTACACTTAAATTGGTGCTCCAATTTATACAAAAAGCATACCATATTTAACAGTTTTTATGACTTTAAATAGAGACCAATATTCATGTTAAACTTAAGAAACCATCTTGTTAAAAGTTAGGGAAAATGATCAAATAGGTAATTCTACTGTTTCCAATCCAACAGTTCAGGTCATATTCTAAAAAATATCGTATAAGTACATTTACTTTAAAAATGGATCAATCAGGACTTTAACCGGTTTTTGACTTGTATTAGCAAGGTTTTTTATATTAAAGAAGTTTAAAAATTGTTAAAATTCGAAGAAGTTTAAATAAAAAATGTGGATAATTTGAGAATGTCAAAGTCTATATTTTGCATTTTCGGGATTACTTGAATACTCCGCATCTTTTTAGAAGTTATTACATTTTATTTGTATACTTATCACAGTTTCTATTTATACTTTCATTTTTTTACTTTCCTATTTTAACGTTTCAGAATTATTTATCTATTTGTGATTTTATACTATTTTTATATTATTATTACACACAATTTTTGAATTTATAGGAATTTCTATAAGATTAATCAATTGGTCTACTAATTTATTTTAAAAAAAACTATTATAGCAAGTTAAAATGGTTTGATTGATCGTGATTTTAATGTAAACATACATGATATATTTTTTAGTATATGGGTTTAAGTGATGGGTTGAAGATAGTAGTAGGGTCTATTGGACCCTTTTCCTAACAATTATGATAAGTAATGAATCATTTTTTCATTCTACATATCAACATTGGTGTCATATGAGAGATCAAAAAATAATTTAATATACTTTTGAAGAAAAATAGTAATGAAAATGTTAGTTTTTTTAAAGTAATTGTTTGACACATGACATCATATTATAGGAATGGAAATGAACAAAATTGTCAGCCAAATACATTAGCATATTAAAGATACTACGCTTGAAGTCTATATTAAGCACACGAGCATGATGACTACAAAGCGCACAGGCAAAATGAAGAATTATAATCCTCACAATTTTTTGATGAGTGAATCAATCTATATAAGAATCGCTTTTTAAATTGGTGTTCCTATATAACTACTTTAGAAATTTAGGAGTATCGGAGTCCAATGAAAAATTTATGAGTTGGGCCAAGAAAATTCCAATCAAGTCATCTTTGCACTGTTGAGTTATCATTTAAGACAATTCTATCCACAAGTCCACAACCATCAAATTACCATATACAATCCCAACTTGTATGTAACAAATAAATCCTTTTTAAAATAGGGAGCACATAATTTGCTCATTTAGTAATAAAGTATGTTATTGGATTAAATTTCCTTCGCAAATCAGGTCAAATAACATATTAATGATGGCTAAACTTCAAGGACATTCTACTCGTAGCAATCAACAACTTCATGTGTTAGTGGTTTAAGGGGGCTACTTCATATATTTAAGATATCCCTCCGTAGGAGGTATTGGGTTCAAGTCACCAAAAATTGAATTTAAGAAGACGATGATCATCTAGTTCTTGAGGACTAATTCAAGTTATTGACTTATCCGAACAATCAATACTTCATCTCGCCACATGAGTTAACTTCTTTTTGCGAACCTGTTAACACTCGTTATAAATTAGTTAAAAGTGACTTCTTGTGCTCGGTGATAGACTGGTATCACGTTAGCGGATTTACATAATTACATCGCCCAAGGATTGGAGTGAATTTGTAGAAGTCATGATTCATGAACAAAATAGAAAATTCAATACATTTATCCGGGTCAAATCAACTTGGTCAATGTCAACTTATAAAGATGTTTTTCCTGGTCTATTTTGTAACTCTGGTATAATCTGGTTTGAATTGGTCTAATGCATGTCAGATCTCTTTGTATATTATAACTACGGAAATCTAGTTTGCTCTGATCTGATAATGTGTGGGGCTGGCAACTGGTCGGAGTTGTAAAGAAACTGGTCGCCAGAAAAAACATCCTAATACATACTACTCCCTCCGTCCCAAAATTATTGTCTTGTTTGGTTTTTCACACAAATTAAGAAAATAACACTGTAGCGACACTGTTTGACACTGTAGCGACACTGTTTGTCATTGTAGCAACACTATTTGACACTGTTTTGCACTGTTTGACACTGTTTGATATTGATTTGTTTACCAAATAAGGAAGGTAGAGAAACGAGACAATTATTTCGGGACGGGCCGGAAAGAGGATAATAATTTTGGGAGGGAGGGAGTAATACATAACATTAGCAGCGACTATGCCCTCACAGTTCATACCTTCTTTGTTGTAAATTGTAATTTAGAAACAAAAACAATAAATCGGGATATCACAATCATTGAGGAATGAAAAGGAAGTAATTCTCAATTCTTTGTTGGCGGTAAGCCAGGCCAGACACTACCTTTTTCCTTCTCGTACTTAGCATACACGGCCGCCGCGGCCGCCACGAAGTATGCCTGAAATAATACAATCGCCGGCGTATGATACTTTATCACACTCTGACCGGTTGCCAGCTCCACCAACAACAGGGCGGTGATGCCCAGAATTGCAACCCGGCCGTTGACCCGTTCCGAATACCGGGTGAACCCGAATTCCACTTTCAGCCCTTCAGATACCGGATCTTGAAGAGGAACCGGCGGGAGGTACATTCCGGATCCCGGATCCGACGCTTCACCCATCTTTGCTTTTCGAGCTTTTCTGCGCTCCGCTTTCTTGCCTAGTCCGCCCCGGTAACGGATACGGATCTTGGAGAGCCGGGAATCGAAGTCGTCCGGTTCGGAGGTTGGCTGGGCGTTTGTTTCTTCGGTATCGGGAGGGGAATCTCCGGAAGTGGCGCGATAAGTGAAGGGGGAGTAGGGATGAGGGTGGTGTTTACGAGGGTTGAGGGCGATTGGGGATCCTGAGAATGCTACTGTCGCCATTTTTCTGTTTCTTGAGCTCTGGTGAGTCTGAAATGAATGGATAAGAACGCGTTTGTGTGGACCACACAAATTGTTTTGAGTTTTTTGGTAAGGCAATGTGGTCGTACCTAGAGATAGACAATTGTGACTGATTCGATGGATACCCGCATCAAACCACCCCGGTCAAAATGGGGAAAACCGCATTGACCGGGTAATGAGTATGGAGCGTGGAATGCCCGTTTAGTTTTTATGAGTAACTGGGCGGTTGCGATTTTATTCATGCTCGCCCCATTACCCACCTCGTTTATTTTTAGTTATATTTTTATTACTTTTTTATCTATTATTTGTCTCACAACTAATAAAAGACGAGATTTTTAATGTTCATTGTATATATATGGATAATAAATGTACTAACTATAGTGTAAGAATGAAATTTCTCAATAGAACTTATTAGCCTTGTTTGATATGATTATTCTATGATTTTTCGTGATTAATTATTTTTTAGATTAAGTATTTTTAGGTTCAAATTAATTTAGGTTGTCTTCTTTCTCGTCATATATATATGAAGCTTTAAAGTGGCGTTTGAGTCTAGCGTCGTCTAGGTGATGCCATTTTTCGCCTTTTAAAATATTTTTTTTTATTAAAATATCAATGACTCATTTAATAAAGTGATTACCCACGGTTACCCGCGGTTTATAACCGTTACCCGTTGGGGCGGTTATGGTTTGGGTAAAAATTACCCGTTGGGTAATGGGGCGGTTATGGGGCGGGGGAATTACCAAACGGGCGCGGGTACGGTTATATGTAAAACCGTCCCCGATCCGCCCCGTGGCCATCCCTACCTATTAGCTTGTTTTCTTTTGGACTATTTTCGGTCTCAGATCAGATCTGATCAGACTTCTGTAGTTATAAAAATAGGGGTGAGCGCGATCCGACCCGGTCCCATATTTAGCCGAACTCGTACCCGTACCGTGACTATTCAAACGGTCTGGTTCGGTTCGATACTAGACCTAAACCCATTTGGCACGGTTCCATTTTCAAACGGGACGGTACCATGTCATACTAATAACAAACAATTTCATTTTTTCTAAGTGATTAAGAGGAAATTAAAGTATAGCCATCCTCCAAAAATCCACACAATTTATCAATTTTCATACTCCCTCCATCCCAAATTGACATGCAAAGTCATTATTTTTTTGGCCAACCAATGTTAGAGTTAAATTCTCTTTATTGATAATTAATTCAATTTTTAACAATTATAATTTACATATTCAGAAACCACATTAAAATCTCTTTAAAGTTGCAAGTTCCAAATTAAATATAATTAAAAATTGACATTAAGTGAATAAAATGAATTTTTTTGACCAAGAAATTAAAGGTTAATTTTGTAAATCATTGTGGGACAGAGGTAGTATTACATAATTAATAAATTTCAGATAAACCATAGCAGTACAAATTGAAATAATTAAATCATTCATTGGTCTGATTCCAGGCTTCCTGTGAACTAGCAAAGGCGGTGAAAGTGTGAATGCACTAGTCAAATTAATGATATAAATATAAATTTAAATGATCAAACCATACTTCGGTCCGATTCGGTCCGGAAATGAGAACCGGTCATGACATTGTTTAGAACCGGTACGGTCCGGGACAAAAAATTTGAGTTCTGTTTCAAACCCTGTTTTCCGGTCCGGTACCATACCGGTTTGGTTGGATACCATGCCGATTCAGTATTTTTGCCCACCCCTATATAAAATACACAAAGACGAGACGTTTACCAGACCAGACCAGACCAGTTCAGACCAGACTAATTCAGATCAGACCAGACCAGCAAATTTCAGTTCAAAAGAAATCATCATTAGTCCCACAAAAGTGTTAAGTGAACCCTTCGTTACATCATTCGAACACATTATTTGTTGAGAAAATTGCACAAATATAACTACTTTAAACCCACTAACAAAAATATGACTTCATGCCCTACCTTACTCCCATGTTGCAGAACGTGTTCCTTATCATTAGTCAGATTATTGTAACTCCAAACAATATTGGTAATATTTATATAAAAAATTCTTATTTGTTTGCATAAATAGAGTTTTCTGTATCTAAACAACTTGTCTTGAAATATAAAAGTTTTTCTATTAAAAGTGAAACTCCAAAAAACACTAAAACCCTAAATGTATTATCTTAATTGATGATACTAATATGTTAAACAATATGTAAATAAAATGGTTACAAAAAAATTAAAAGAACACCCAGAAGAAGCGACATGTATAAGTTATAACTATGTAGAGTTAATAGGCCCGATCGTGCATCGGCCCATTAGGCCTTAGAAAGTAAACCATCCAGGCCCATCCAGACGTCTAGACGCTTGACTTCAGTGGCCTTAGCCCAGCAAGGGCCAGTTGGCATTCCATGGCCTTCGGCAGGACGATCCACAAGAGCATAGCAGAACCCCTCCCTTGTGCTCAGCTAGAACCAGGATCCAAGATCCGGGGGACGCTCATCCGGATCCTTGGCGGGAAACCGGGATATTGGCGAGAAACACATTTAATGCAGTAGATTTGGTGATTGAGAAGCTAGCCACTCACAATCCTCCACATCATCAGTATCACGTACCCCTTGGTAGTATAAATAGTAACATTTATTTTATTGTAAAGAGTTGACAACTTGTATTTTATAGCAATTATCTCATCCCCTCTTTGCCGAGATAGACAAACGGCCTTTGGGCTTGTAGTAAAGTGTGTTGTATACGGGCGCTTATTGTTATTAAATAAGAAACGGCTCACTTACCACTCTTGTTACTTATCTATTCTTCACTTGCTTGCATCATATAATCCAATAAACTTTCCACTGAAACCCAAAGGAAGATGTTACTCCTTTGGAGCTGAAGGAACAAACCTCAACAAACTCCTATTAAATTAAGCATCACCTTCCTTATTGTAACACATCAATTTAGCTATTTTGCTATAAACTTATGGTAGATATGGATTCATCAACAATCTTAATTATATCATTTAGTCCAAAGACCAATGTCAATGGAAGATGTTTATTGTATGTATAGTAGTGACTAGCAACTACATATACATAACAATGAATAGTTGATTAGGATATCAATATACGTATTTTGATTGAGTGACCCATGCTTCAAGATATGTTAAACTTGATAGTTTAATATGAAATGTTGTTGCTCCAGCATAAATTGCGATTGAGCATTAATGACAATTTGTATTGTTGGGCATTGATGATAAATTGTATTGTTGGACATTCACTCTCACGCATGACGAGTAAAAGGGACCAGTTAAAAAGAAATAAAAATGAACTGAGCGTTTATTTGTTCTGAAATAACGGACCGAACACAAACTACAAACCCTACCGAACCAGGTCTACCAAACCCTGACTCGAAACTAATATAATGAATCTTTCAATATCAGATTTCCATGACACCAGATCTTATAAGTAATTTTAAGATTTAGCAAAAATTCAATCCATAACACAACTGGGGTTTATGATTTTCAATTTGATAATATTGATTAAAATTAAGCATTTTAATTTACTCCTGTATGACAAAGTAATAGTAGTATACTATTTGAATAATTAAGTGTCAACATTAACAAAGTTTGATTGAAAGAATCAAAATATGAACTTAATTGTGGATGATGAGATAGAGTATATTTTGTAATGACAAATGAAAATGAATCGAAGGCATTAATTAATTCAAGTAGGTGGATTAGATCAATTTAAATAGTGATATTATGTACATGGATCCAATTTTTTGGGAAACTTAACTCAACCTTCAAGGGTGGTTCTTCTCAAACCAATATGTGCATCACTATCAAATTTTTAATAGCCCGTGGACAATATTGGATGCCAATTCTATATAAATTCAGACCTAAGTCGAACTTTATAAAAAGAATCCACTAATAGTAGTATTTTCAGTTGTATAATTCTTTTGAACTAAGGATTAATATCACAAAATAACTAATTGATTAAAACTTGGTCAAATGTGACCGGCACGGAGATTAATAAGGTAAAAAATTGTGTAATTGAGATTTGTCGAGATGAGAGATAATTAACTGAATTACAAATACTTGAAAGGGAATTTAGAGGGACAAACAAAAAAGAAAATTGACAAAGTCTTAAGTGATGTGCATGTATAAAACGGACGTGCATATTTTCTTTTGAACTAAGGATTAATATAACAAAAATAACTAATTGAATAAAACTTTTACATTATACTACTATACCTCCGTCCCAAAATTAACGTCTCAAAATTAACTTCTCATTTTGGATTTGGATTGGGATGCTTGACTGACGATAAAATAACTTGATCTCTGCTCACACTTAAATTACTTTAGTAAATAAAATTTACATGTTCCACGATAAAACCGCTACAAAGCTCAAAAAAATGTAAATTTGACAAAAAAATTGTTATATAAAGCAAAAGATTAAGAGTAATTTAAGTTGACTATGTGAATAGTGAATGCGAAGTTAATTTTGGGACGGAAGGAGTATTACGTAATATACTTCATTCGTCCCTTAAAACTTGATCAAGTTTGACTAGCACGAGAATTATTAAAGTAAAATTGTGCGATTTAGATTTGCGCAGAAGAAAGATAATAAACAGTAATCACAAATACTTTACTTAAAAAGTAAAGTTAGTGGAACAAAAAAAACAAAATTGACAAGTTTTGACAAACGGCACCTATGTTTTCTTTAGGGTGAGAATTAGTTCACGATCGAATGAACCCCATAACAATATTCATTTAACAAGCCCTTACCAAACACAAAATTACGAAGTTTTTCATACGCTAAGAGCCCGTTTGGTAGCACGAAAATCGGCTGTTTTGGCTGTTTCTGCTGAAATTTATGAAGTTCTGGCTGAAGTGGCTGTTTTGGCTGATTCTGCTGATTCTAGAAAAAAATATTTTAAAAATATATTTTATTAATAAAATAAAGAAAAAATTACATGTAAAAATAGCTAAAATGGTCATCTACAGTAACTTCAGCCAATACAGCCAGAAAAGTAACTCCAACCTTACTTTTTC